AAGTTGGATTGGAAATGAACATCGATGACTTTATCCTTATAATTTTCCATATAAAATGACAGCAATCTTCATTTCATAGCTATCTTTAACGCCGTTTTTTTTTATCATACGATAGTTGATGAAGTGCATATGAAATAACAATATACAGGGTGACCTGACAGGGTACGAGAAAGTCCATTATCGTTGTTGTTGACGAAGATATGAAAAAAAGTTTTACCTACATGTTGCATGATTTATAGAGCTGCATATCCCAAAAATATTGTGTTATACAGGGTGTCCCAAAAAACACTTTTATTTGAAAGAGTATTTTTAAATATTTAACTTGTTTAATCATCTGTTGATGATGCTAACATGGTTAGCGAAACGCGCGTCCAGTGTAAAGGTAAAAGTGTTTTGGTGTATTGTGGTGATTTAGTGTTATATTTTGCTATACGGCTCTTAAACAGTAAATTTTTATCAAAGCCACCTAAAGATATTTTACCTAAATCCAGGGTTGGAAAAAATCATGATTTTTTTAAAAAAATCAGATTTTTTTTATTTAAATCGGATTTTTTTGATTTAAATAAGATTTTTTTGATTTTAATTCAAAACAATATTTAAATCGGATTTCCAAATGACTAGGACTTATTTCCAATTAAAGTCCTATCCTAAATGGCTAAATCTTAATAACTCTGAGCGATACCGATAACATTAACAATTATACGGGGCGTGTCATTTTTCCACATCGGTCACCAATATATTCCGCAAAAAAGTCGCTCGCTTCAGATCAAAAGGATTTTTTTTCAAACGTCTCAAAAGTATTAATTTTTGTCATTTTAACGGCTATAGGCATAGAAGTAAAGCACTGTTACGCCTAAGCACAAAAATACAAAAATATATTATTAAACTGATATTAGGTGTCAAATTCGACGAGTGTACAAATCGTTTCTCGATTACTGGTTGTATTATTTGCAATGTTTGAAATTGATTAAAAAATTATTTGTAATGTTTTAAAAAAATAGTGTTTTATTCGGAGTAAAAATGTAGGTACTTTTTGTGCCTCCTTGTAACGTCGGAATAGCTTTACGATGGTCCTTCAAATGTACAGCATCGTCAAAAAAAGTATAATTTCTACTCTTAATAAAACAATACACTATTAGTATTATCATAAATTAGTATTATCTAATGTCAAAGTGTAAAGTACTTACTGCAAATCAAAATGTCGGTAAGAATTTGGAAACATACCAACGTTTCAAAAAAAAATATAAAATAACATATTTTCTGACAACGATTATAGATTTACGGGAATGCAGATAAGTCTCTATATCAGAAGAACCTAGTTCTGGCACTAGTCGGCGAATGATATGTATTCGAAAAGCGAATTTTTGTCACTTATAAATAAATTTTAAAATAAATTCCTGCGTTTAGCGGTCTTAAGGATTCACACTAAATTACTTCAAAAATCGGTTCAACATTTAAATTGATGAATAGATATTTTTATATACTTTTATATAATTTACAATTATTTTTCGATTTATTATCTGTTATAGAAATATTTTTTATAGTTTTCTAGGATAGATTTTTATAACTTTTACAGTTATTTTTTGATTTATTATAAAGTTTCAATAAAAATAATTTTTTGATTTAAATCACATGATTAAAATTAAAAAAATCACTTGATTTAAATCACGATTTAAATCATGATTTAAATCATTTGATTTAAATCATGTCAACTCTGCCTAAATCCAATTCTGTACAGAAAAATGAGAGTTGCAATTTTAAAACAAACTTTTTCAATACTTTTTTTGGATACCCTAAATACAACAAAACATTTTTAGGGTATTCACCATTATAAACCATGTAACATTTTTCTATAAAACTTTTTTTTTCATATCTTCGTCAACAAAGTCGATACTGGACTTTCTCAGACTAATGGGCTACCCTGTATAATAAAACAGCTCATTAACAATAAAGTGTTCGGTATATTACAATTTAGATCTATTTATTAGACTAAAATAAAAAGGGGAGTTTACCATATTCCGTTTATTACAATGTTTTAGCTTATTGTATAGTTAAGTCGTATTCTTAAAAAAATTGATCTTACTTTTGCTCTACGTCATTTACAGATCATATTTCTTGTTAAGCTCGGACATAATGTTTTACGTGTTAGTTAAAACAGAAAACCGTCTAGAAAATGGTATAGGTATGAAAACATCATGCGCAAAAAAGAAACGTACAAAGTGTGCACATCTCATCTACAACATATTTCGGAATAAATTTAGAGAATATCACAATTTAAATAATAATTTAAGAGTCCTACAGATGTATGAAAACGGAAACTTTTGATTATATCTTATACAAGATATCAGGATCAATTGAAAAAAACTGTATAGTTTTCCACTGTATAGTTGGCATATGTAGTTGATAATTGGAAAAGAAATCTAAATATTTGTTTTTCGCTACTCTTATCAATCAATAAACAGTGTCGATGTACTCACAACTTCAACATAAACACTTGCATGTACATTGCATTTTATGTTTTCGTTTCGCTAATATACAGGGTTGTTCACCACATACGACACGGAGTATTGTAGCTAAACGATTAGATTTTTGTAAATTGTAAGTTTTGGATTCGTTGAAGGACTATTAGAGCTACAATTTAAAAATATTTTTACAAGATACAGAGTGTCCCATATAAACAAAAAAAATATCAAAGTTGTAATTTTTTTAAATGGAACACTAGGTATATTATTATATTTTAGTTTCTACGATTAAAATAAAGGTAAATTTGATTAAGGTTTACCGCATTTTAATCTTATCAATATATAAGTACAGTAATAATTTTAATGCTTCATTTCCCTAGACGTTTTTAAGTTTTTAAAATCAAATATTGTACCTACTGAAGTATTTCTATTTACTAAATTTTGTGTTGCAATAATAAAAATTATATTACCTTATACAGTGTCTAAAAATTTATTTTAAATAATTACTAACTTTAAACGGCAATAACTTGTTTAATTTAAATGGAACACCCTGTATATTTAATAAGAATCAGTTGCACAATTTAATTGTCTATCAAATTATATTATACTATTTTTTACCTATCTTATCAAGTTTTCGTACAAAATGCATTTTCTTATAATTTAGACCACATTTATCAATATACCCATGGAATATTGACATTTTAGATTATTTTCAAAGATGTAACAAATTTTCAAAGAGTACCAGATTCTAATATTGTCATATAGTTCGTTTATTTCATTAAAAAATAAAAAAAAACTGTTTAAATATTTGTTAGAGGACCAATTATGATTCCAGTATTCAAACTACATCAATTGACTGTTTGCATTGATTAATAATAATTGCTCCAAATACTAAAAAACTGAATTTTATATGTGTATTAGACAGTGTGGTAAAAAGTAAGACTTTAAAAATTTTATTTCATTTTTTTACGAATGCTTATTTATAACGGGGACTGTATTATTTTTATTATTACAACACAATAACTGATCAATAAATAAACTTCAGTAACCCCAGTCTTCACGAGCCTCCCCGTCTTAGGACGCACATGTAAAATAATTCATTATTTATTGTTAAATACACGGAAAATAAATTGTAATAAACTCCACAATTGTAGAAAACACTGCAGCATTTTGCGTCTAAAATGGTAATAGGCATCAAGTAACTTCAAGTAGCTTTTACTTCTATCACGAGATCCTCAAAACAGTTCAATATGCTTGATTTTATACGAAAATAGCGAACAAGTGTGGTGGTAATTCTCACAATCTCTGTCAAAGAATATTCATATTGTACTCCTTGAAATTTAAACAAAAATCATTATTACAAATTCTCTTTTTATATGTTTTTTTCAGTGTATAAATGAAAAAAGTGACGGTAATATTCTGATCCCCAAAACTTTTTTTTCGATTAACAATATTTACATTTACATTGCGTTACGGGATTTCACAACACTAACAACAAATCAATAGGGAAAAATTGACCAAAACGTAAGGCGAAAAAATACGCAAAAAACCACCCGGGTCCCTTCTCACAATTCCACCCTGGATCCTGTGGCTCGGTCCAACCCTGTGTACGAGCCAGCCAGTGAGGGCCGGGCAACTACCCCCGTTGCCTTACCGTGGCCACGCCTATGTTAGAAACTATTTAAGAAACTAAAAGATCTGCGAAAGGACAGTTCCAGGGCCATGTAAGTGAAATATTAAAAATGGTTCCAGCAAAAGTTTCCCAATTATGACGGATGATGGCGCTGATCGTCAAAATTTTTGGACGGGGATTTTGCTTACCGACAATACGACGTGAGCTACAACCGGACCAGGACCAATCAGAATGATCACTCTTTCTTGGACATTTGCCGCGGAAGTGTGTGTTAATTTCTGTTGTGATAAGTGTGGTTGTGTTTGCAGTTTGATTTTTCGGTTTTGATATTATGTTAAAATTAATTTTGAAGTATTGTATCACCTGTTTTTATGTAATAGTACTTTTTTTAGTTCTATGATCTGATATGTTATGATTTGTTAATGTTTGTTTAACAATGTTATACCAAAGAGGTTATACTTAATATACTTATCAATTTGCATAGCCTAACTTTTTATCAATAAACTTTGTAGATTTTCAGATTATTTAATTCCTTTTGTTTCCGTTTGTAATTTTATTTTTAAGACATATTATGTGATTGTTTCACATAATATGTTTTAAAAATAAAATTGCGAATAGCGAATAAAAATAATTAAAATAAAAAAGTGTATTTTACAATTCCCCCCGGCCCCGCACCCCTTTGGCTAACCTATAATGTTAGCTATGTTGAGAGATGGCGTTACGAAAATGGAACCGATTTATTACAAGGAACTTGGGCTTCTTTTTCGTTAGTATATTCTGTGGACAGTTCCAAGATTCCCAGTCTACAGTCAACATCGCAGTCAGTTACCCTTGTTAGTCAACTACAGTCAATCGCAGTCAGTTTCCCTTGTTAGTCATAACAAGTCCAGGACAATACCGCCGAAATGTCTAAACCCATGAGACGTAAACACGTGTTGCTGGAAGTGTTCCGCCACGGATTTTCGACACCTTCAGAAGATCAACGGATTGTAAAAGTATTGGCTAGTCGAGGTAATAATTTACACGAAGTTGAAGATTCAGATGGAAGCAGATTTCTTGTCACCATGCCGACAAAATTTCGCAGAACTATATGGATTATAAGGGGAGGTTACATCCTAATCGAACCAATACAAGAAGGAAAAAAAGTCAAAGGAAAAATCGTGAGGATACTCAACAACGAGCAGATACAACACTTTATACAAGAGAACGTGTGGCCCGATGCATTTCTTCATGTAGACAAAAATGAAAAGGAAAATAACGAAGATATATTCGTAAATAGAAACAGACCTGTGATTAATAGTGATACTAGCAGTTCCAGCGATAGCGAAGATTCATCTGGTGAAGAGGACAGTGAACCTGAATTTGCAAGTAGAAATAATAGACTAGTGATTTAAAGTGATATTAGCAGTTCCGGCCATAGTGAGGAGTGTCTAGTGAAAAGGATATTGAGCCTGAATGTGATAAGGAGAGTTGGAGTTATTTAATTTATCTATGTATACATACAGGGTGAGTCTTAAATAAGTGCAAATATTTTCAGGGCTGGTAGATCTCGAAAAAAGAAAAATATTTTCTCTTTACCGTTTTTCAAATAAATCCAAACTACCGGACTTATTTTACTTGCTAAAATTTTGAGAAAGACTGGATATTTTCTGGGTTTTATTTCTTGTAAATTTAATCTACTACCTATGTTGCCATATTATCAACAAATTATGTTTTTAACTAAAAAGTTTTCCATTTTTTTTTCAAAAAAATTCCAAATTATCAAAAAATAAATCGCGAAAAAAACTTCATAATCGTATTTCTGGGGTCGAAATAAACTACCTCTAAAAATATTTGCACTTATTTAGAACTCACCCTGCAGAATATACCAATAATTTAATTTATTAATTAGATATAGTTTTGTATTTTGTCAGAAAATTTAGTTTTAATAAATATTGAGTTATAAAAAATATATTTTTTACTGAAATACACTTGTTTGAATTAATAATAATAATTAGTGGAAAACGTTTAACAAACTTTTGACTTTTCCACTGCTTATACTTCAAAATTTGCGAGGATCATTTTCGCCTTTAATTATCATCCATCAAGAGAAAATGTTAGAAACCAATAGTTTATTGTTATAAAACAAAACAAACTGATTATTGCAAGCTGTTGCTAGGTTATACTATTAATTTTAATTGTGTTTTTTAGACATTCTAAATGATTGTAAACTGGAAAGAATAAGCTTACTTTAGAACCTCGCAATTAGTGGTTTCAATTAGTGTAAAAGTTTGTTCCTTTAATTTCAATGTAAGCATTCAGAACGTCAAAATTAGCGGTAGACAATTCTATTAGTAGAAAAAAGTTATCAAACTTTTAACTTTTCCACTGATTATAATTCAAAATTTGCGAGAAATGTCATTTTGATTATCTTCCGTCAAGAGAAATTGTGGTTAGAAATCAAAAGTTGATTGTTTTATAACCTAAATATTAGGCTTTCTCTATGGATACAACTGACTAACGCAAGCTGTTGCTAGGATATTCTATTAATTTTAATTGTGTTTTTAAAACATTGTGAATCATCGTCAACTAAAAAGTATAAAGTGTAATTGAAACCACTAATTGCGATGTTCTGAATAATGCTTAAAGTGTAATTGAAACCACTAATTTATTACACTAATTACGAGGTTCTGAATGAAGCTTTAAGCTTCATTCAATTAGTGGAATAAATTAGTAGTTTCAATTAGACTTTATACTTCTTAGTTTACGATCATTCACAATGTCAAAAATACACAATTAAAATTAATAAAATATCCTAGCAACAGCTAACGGTAGTCTGTTGTATCCATAGAGAAAGCATAATATTTGGTTATAAAACAATAAACTTTTGATTTCTAACCAAATTTTTTCTTGACGGGTGATAATCAAAGGCCAAAATGACGTTCCTCGCAAATTTTGAAGTATAATTAGTGGAAAAGTCAAAAATTTAACTTTTTCCAATAATTGAAAATTACTACCACTAATAATTATGACGTTCTGAATGCTTATTAAAATTAGGTGTACAAACTTCTACGGCTAATTTAAACTACTAATTTATTTCACTGATTTCGAGGTTCTGAATGAAGCTTTATACTTTGTTAACTTTTTCTACTAATTGAAAATTATTACCACTAATTTTGACGGTTTGAATTATTACATTCAAATTAGAGAAACAAACTTCTACGCTATTGTAACCATTATTTTATCAACTAATTGCGAGGTTCTGTAGTATAATAATAGTGATATATGAAACAATTTTATGTTCACCATCGGGGGGCGTAGCTCTTAGATAGTTAGGTAGAGCGCTCGCTTAGCATGCGAGAGGTACGGGATCGATACCCGGCGCCTCCATTTTTTTGCAATATATCATAATAGTATATTGTTTTATTAGGAGTAAAAATAACACTTTTTGTGGCGAGGCTGTACGTTCTAGCCATACAGTCGAGGCACAAAAAGTAATTTTTACTCCGAATAGAACATGCTATTTTTTTTCAACCGACACAAAATATTTTTTAAACAATTTCAAACGTTCCCAATAATATAAAAATATTTAAAAGTCATACCTTGTATGTATAATTATATATCGAGAAACTATGGTTTCGCTCGTTGAATTTGACACTTTATGTCAGTTTATTAATATATTTTCGTACTTTTATGCCATAAAAGTGCTTTATTTTTATGCCTAGGCGTTAAAATGATTTTTTTATATTGCCAATCACGTTGCAAAAATTAATACTTTTGTTGTATGCAAGCAAAGAATATTCAGATTGTACTCGTTGAAATTTAAACAAAAATCATTACAAATTTTAGCACTGTAACTGTTGAGTTGGGGAAGAATAAAATAACTTAGCTAATGCAACAATTGTGTGTCATATGTTTACAAAAATGTAAGTACAATCTGTGTACAATGTTGTAGTTTTTTCTTTTTATATGTTATTTTCAGTGTAGAAATGAAACAGAAAAAAGTAACGGTAATATTCTGATCCCCAAAATTTTTTTAAACTAACTATATTGGCATTTGCATTGCGTTACGGGTAGTTTCTTGCTTTCAAACACTAACAACAAATTAATAGGGAAAATTTGACGAAAACGTAAGGCGAAAAAATACGCAAAAAAAACACCCGGGTCCCTACTCACAATTCCACCCTGAACCCTGTAGCCCGGTCCAGCCCTGTGCACGAGCCAGCCAGTTAGGGCCAAGCAATTACCCCCGTTGCCTTACCATAGCCCCGCCTATGTTAGAAACTATTTAAGAAACTAAAAGATCTGCGAAAGGACAGTTCCAAGATTGCCAGTCTACAGTCAACATCGCAGTCAGTTACTCTTGTTAGACAACTACAGTCAATCGCAGTCAGTTGCCCTTGTTAGTCAAAACAAATCTAGGAAAATACAGCCGAAATGTCTAAACCCATGAGACGTAAACACGTGTTGCTGGAAGTGTTCCGCCACGGATTTTCGACACCTTCAGAAGATCAACGGATTGTAAAAGTATTGGCTAGCCGAGGTAATAATTTACACGAAGTTGAAGATTCAGATGGAAGCAGATTTCTTGTCACCATGCCGACAAAATTTCGCAGAACTATATGGATTTTAAGAGGAGGTTACATCCTAATCGAACCAATACAAGAAGGTAAAAAAGTCAAAGGAAAAATCGTGAGGATACTTACCAACGAGCAGATAACACACTTTATACAAGAGAACGTGTGGCCCGATGCATTTCTTCATGTAGACAAAAATGAAAAGGAAAATAACGAAGATATATTTGTAAATAGAAACAGACCTGCGATTAATAGTGATACTAGCAGTTCCAGCGATAGTGAAGATTCGTCTGGTGAAGAGGATAGTGCGCCTGAATTTGGCAAGTAGAAATAGACTAGTGATTTAAAGTGATATTAGCAGTTCCGGCCATAGTGACGAGTGTCTAGTGAATAGGATATTGAGCCTGAATGTGATAGGCAGAATTGGAGTTATTTAATTTATGTATATATAGAGGGTGAGTCTTAATAAGTGCAAATATTTTCAGGGCTGGTAGATCTCGATAAAAGAAACATATTTTCTCTTTACTGTTTTTCAAATAAATCCAAAATAACTGAGTTATTTTACTTTGAAAATTTCAAAAAAAATATTTTTTGTTAAAATTTTGAGAAGCACTGGATCTTTTCTGGATTTCTTTCTTGTAAATTTAATCTACTACCTATGTTGCCATATTATCAACAAATTATGTTTTTTAACTGAAAAGTTTTCCATTTTTTATCAAAAAAATCCAAATTTTCCAAAAAAAATTCGCGAAAAAAACTTCATAATCGTGTTTCTGGGGTCGAAATAAACTACCTCTAAAAATACTTTCACTTATTTAAGACTCACCCTGCAAAATAGAACAATAATGTAATTTATTAATTAGATATAGTTTTGTATTTTGTCAGAAAATTTAGTTTCAATAAATATTGAGTTAAAAAAAATATATTTTTTTATTGAAATACACTTGTTTGAATTAATAGTAATAATAATCGAAGGCCAAGCTGACATTACTCTCACATTTTGAAGTATAATTAGTGGAAAAGTTTAAATGTTCATTCAGAACCTCGCAATTAGTAGAATAAATTAGTGGCGTCAATTAGCGTAGAAGTTTGTTCCACTAATTTGAATTTAAAGCATTCAGAACGTCAAAATTAGTGGTTGGAATTTTCAACTAGTGGAAAAGGTTCAACAAACTTTTGACTTTTCTACTAATTATACTTCAAAATTTGCGAGGAATGTCATTTTCGCCTTTAATTATCGTCCGTCAAGAGAATATATATGGTTAGAAACCAAAAGCTTATTGTTTTATTTTTTTCAAAAAACTCCAAATTTTCAATTTTTTTGCGAAAAATACTTCATTGACGTGTTTCTGGAGTCGACATAATATATTCTTCTTAAAAAATTTGTACTTATTTAAGACACACTCTGTATAATAAAATGGTTGGTAATTTCAAAAGTTTAATTTATTTTTTTTTAATTGATATTTATTGGAAGCAGATTGTCGAAATACAGGATGTTTCTAAAAAACATGTACCATCTCTCATGGGGAGATTCCTCACGTAAAAATAAGATTTACTTTTTATATAAACATAGGTTCAATTCTGCTTTGTTTATTGCCTTAATTTTTTTTTAGGTTTGCCTTAATTTTTTTGTTTTGCCTTAATTTTTTTTTGTTTTGCCTTAATTTTCTTTGTTTTGCCTGATTTTTTTTTATTATCTTCTTCCAAGTACTTTTAGTGATTCGAATGAAATTTTGAGGATAAAAGTTATTATTAGTGCTAGATACATATTTTATTGCTAAAAAAATGCCGACAGTTTCACCGATGTGCGTATGGGTTATCACTGGAATATTTTTCTAAAAAAAAATTTGCGCCATTAACTTTTTTCTCTTGTTTTATTATACATATATACTAATTTAAAAAAGAAGAATGAAATTATTGGGCAAACCCACACAGTAAGATTAACCATGAAACATGGCTAAAATACGAAAAGTTAAAGTTAATGGCATGTTTTTTTTTAGAAAAATATCCCAGTGATAACCCATATGCACATCGGTGAAACTGTCGGCACTTTTTTAGCAATAAAATATGTATCTTGCACTTATAATAACTTTTACCCTCAAAATTTCATTCGAATCACTTTGGCTTCAAAAGTACTTGGAAGATTATAATAAATAAAAAAATCAGGCAAACCAAAAAAAAATTAAGGCAAATCAAAAAAAAAATAAGGCAATAAACAAAGCAGAATCGAACCTATGTTTATATAAAAAAATAAATCTTATTTTTACGTGAGGAATCCCCATGAGAGATGGTACATGTTTTTTAGAAACATCCTGTATTTCGACAATCTGCTTCCAATAAATATCAATTATAAAAAAAATAAATTAAACTTTTGAAATTACCAACCATTTTTATTATACAGGGTGTGTCTTAAATAAGTATAATTTTTTTTAAGGAGAATATATGTCGACCCCAGAAACACGTCAATTAGGTTCTTTACGCAAAAAAAATTGAAAATTTGGAATTTTTTGAAAAAAATAAAACAATATACTTTTTTGGTTTCTAACAATATTTTCTCTTGACGGATGATAATTAAAGGCGAAAATGACATTACTCGCAAATTTTGAATAAATAATAAATAAATAAATAATATAAATAAATAATTAAATAATATCTTTATAAGTTAAAAGTCAAAAGTTTGTTAAACGTTTTCCACTAATTGAAAATTCCAACCACTAATTTTGACGTTCTGAATGCTTACATTCAAATTAAAGGAACAAACTTCTACGCCAATTGACGCAACTAATTTATTCTACTAATTGCGAGGTTCTGAATGAACCTTTAAACTTTTCCACTAATTAGACTTCAAAATTTGGGAGTAATGTCAGTTTGGCCTTTCATTATTATTACTATTAATTCAAACAAGTGTATTTCAATAAAAAATATATTTTTTATAACTCAATATTTATTGAAACTAAATTTTCTGACAAAATACAAAACTAGATCTAATTAATAAATTAAAATATTTTTATGTACTGCAGGGTGAGCCTTAAATAACTGCAAATATTTTTAGAGGTAGTTTATTTCGACCCCAGAAACACGATTATGAAGTTTTTTTCGCGAATTTTTTTGAAAATGGCAACATAGGTAGTAGATTGAATTTATAAGAAAGAAAATCCAGAAAAGATCCAGTGGTTCTCAAAATTTTACCACATTTTTGCACTTATTTAAGACACACCCTGTATATATATAAATTAAATAACTCCAATTCTCCCTATCACATTCAGGCTCAATATCCTATTCACTAGACACTCGTCACTATGGCCGGAACTGCTACTATCACTTTAAATCACCAGTCTATTTCTACTTGCAAATTCAGGCTCACTATCCTCTTCACCAGACGAACCTTCACTATCGCTGGAACTGCTAGTATCAATATTAATCACAGGTCTGTTTCTATTTACAAATATATCTTCGTTATGTTCTTTTTCATTTTTGTCTACATGAAGAAATGCATCGGGCCACACGTTCTCTTGTATAAAGTGTTGTATCTGCTCGTTGTTGAGTATCCTCACGATTTTTCCTTTGACTTTTTTCCCTTCTTGTATTGGTTCGATTAGGATGTAACCTCCTCTTATAATCCATATAGTTCTGCGAAATTTTGTCGGCATGGTGACAAGAAATCTGCTTCCATCTGAATCTTCAACTTCGTGTAAATTATTTCCTCGGCTAGCCAATACTTTTACAATCCGTTGATGTTCTGAAGGTGTCGAAAATCCGTGGCGAAACACTTCCAGCAACACGTGTTTACGTCTCATGGGTTTAGACATTTCGGTGGTATTGTCCTGGACTTGTTTTGACTAACAAGGGAAACTGACTGCGATTTACTGTAGTTGACTAACAAAGGTAACTGACTGCGATGTTGACTGTAGACTGGGAATCTTGGAACTGTCCTTTCGCAGACCTTTTAGTTTCTTAAATAGTTTCTAACATAGGCGGGGCTATGGTAAGGCAACGGGGGTAATTGTTCGGCCCTAACTGGCTGGCTCGTGCACAGGGTTGGACCAGGCTACAGGGTTCAGGGTGGAATTGTGAGAAGGGAACCGGGTGGTTTTTTTGCGTATTTTTCGCCTTACGATTTGGTCAATTTTTCCCTACTGATTTGTTGTTAGTGTTTGAAATCAAGAAACTACCCGTAACGCAATGCAAATATAAATAGTTAATCGAAAAAAAAGTTTTGGGGATCAGAATATTACCGTCACTTTTTTCTGATTCATTTCTACACTCAAAAAACCGTATAAAAAGAAAAAACGACAACATTGTACACAGATTGTACATAGATTTTTTTAAACATATGACACACAATTATTGTTGTATTAGCTAAGTTATTTTATTCTTACCCAACTCAACAGTTACAGTCTAGAAGGTGTAATAATGATTTTTGTTTAAATTTCAACGAGCACAATCTGAATATTCTTTGCTTGCATGCAAACGTCACAAAAGTATTAATTTTTGCGACGTGATTGACAACATAAAAAAGTCATTTTAACGCCTAGGCATAAAAGTAAAGCACTTTTATGCCTAAGCATAAAAGTACGAAAATATATTAATAAACTGACATATTCAACGAGCGAAACCATAATTTCTGGATATATAATTATACATACAAGGTATGACTTTAAAATATTTTTATATTATTTGGAACGTTTGAGAAATTGTTTAAAAAATTATTCGTGGCGTTTGAAAAAAAATAGCATGTTCTATTCGGAGTAAAAACTACTTTTTGTGCCTCGACTGTATGGTTAGAACGTACAGCCTCGCCACAAAAAGTGTTATTTTTACTCCTAATAAAACAATATTATACTATTATGATATATTGAAAAAAAATGGAGGCGCCGGCCATCGATCCCGGTACCTCTCGCATGCTAAGCGAGCGCTCTACCCTCTACCTAACTAAGAGCTACGCCCCCCGATGGTGAACACAAAATTGTTTTATACTATCACTATTATTATACTACAGAACCTCGCAATTAGTTGATAAAATAATGGTTACAATAGCGTAGAAGTTTGTTCCTCTAATTTGAATGTAATAATTCAAACCGTCAAAATTAGTGGTAATAATTTTCAATTAGTAGAAAAAGTTAACAAAGTATAAAGCTTCATTCAGAACCTCGAAATCAGTGCAATAAATTAGTAGTTTCAATTAGCCGTAGAAGTTTGTACACCTAATTTTAATGTAAGCATTCAGAATGTCATAATTAGTAGTAGTAATTTTCAATTATTGAAAAAAGTTAACAAACTTTTGACTTTTCCACTAATTATACTTCAAAATTTGCGAGGAATGTCATTTTGGCCTTTGATTATCACCCGTCAAGAAAAAATTTTGATTAGAAATCAAAGTTTATTGTTTTATAAGCTAAATATTATGCTTTCTCTATGGATACAACAGACTACTCGTAATTAGTAGAAT